CGGATGGAGCTCATCCGGGCCTGCCGACTTAAACACGTCCAGTCCTTCCAAGTGACTCTGCACCATCTCAGGGTCTACGGTTGGTGGTCTGGCGCCTTGCTGCTGCCTCTCTACAATCCCATTGTGAGACTTGTCTTATCCCTCGCTTAGGAACACTGAGGCAAAGAACTCATCGAGTTCAGCCTTGTCCCCCCTGTCTGTCACCAATTGCTTTTGCCCGTTCAGTAGTGGTCCTATACCACCCTGGGCCTTCCTTTTACTCGCTATATATCTGAAAAACAATTTTTTGTTAGCCTTTACTTGGGATGCCATCCTCAGCTCCATGGTAGCTTTGGCCCGTCTAACTGCCTCCCTACAAGCGCGAGCAGAGGAGGTATACTCCTCTTTAGTAATCTCTCCCAGTTTCCACTGCTTATATGCCCCGCTTTTTGCCCTTAGGCTGCTCTGGATATCTCTGGTCAGCCAAGGAAGCCTCTTGGCCCCTGTCCCCCTGAATTGGGATCATCTCCCTCTGTGCTTGAAGGATCACTTCCTTAAGACACAGCCACCCTTCCTGGTCTCCCATCTCGCCAAATCTCTTACTCTGTAGTGTATCATTGACTAAACGCCTGAGTTTGCTGAAGTCAGCCTTCCTAAAGTCTAGCACTTCCACCCTACTAGTTACCTTTCCCACTCTACACCTTACGGTGAATTCTATTATTTGGTGGTCACTGTCCCCCAGGTGACCACTATCCGTAGGTCCCCTACCATGTCATCCCCCATTGCCAATACCAGGTCCAGTAAGGCATTCTCCCTAGTGGGACCATGTACCTCCTGTGTCAGGTGGAGGTCCTGCACACAGGATAGGAACCTGCATGAATGGTTGGAATTTGCTGTCTGCGTCTCCCAGCAGATGTCTGGGTAGTTTAGGTCCCCCATGACTACCGCCTCCCTAGTCTTTATGGTCTCTGAGAGCTGCCTCAAGAGTTCCAAATATAGTTCTTCGCCTTGGTGTGCGGGTCAGTAGCAGACCCCTACCACCAAATCCCTTTCCTCTTGACCTCTATGTATCCTAGCCCACGATCCTTCTACTTTCTCCTCCTCCGATTCCATTTCGATAAGGGTCGATGTATAACGCTCCTTGACATAGAGCGCAACCCGTCCCCCTCTCCTCCCCACTCCTATCCTTTCTGTGCAGCTTATAGCCCTCAATATGTACCGCCCAGTCGACGTTATTTTCTTTTACAGGACCCCAGCCTGTGGCACCCAATGTACCTAAAGGGACGTGGTCTGGGGAAGAAGCCAAGACATGCAGTGAGAAAAGACGGTTGTCCCTAGAACCCCTGCAGTTACAGCAGCTGCAGGCTGCTGGGCAGAACTGAATTCTGTCCCTGCCTCTGCCCCAGGTTCCCTTGTAAACACTAGGCAAGTCACTTAAAACACTTTCCTCATGTAGGCAGCAGTTGTGTGTTCTGCACTCTGGGTGCCCCACGTAGGACCCTTAGATCTGATTTGTCGAAGAACTAAGCATTCACAGCTGTAGCTGAAACCAGGGGCACCGAGGTTTGACCACAGAGAGCTCTATAGAGAGCCAAATACTGTGAAAAACTAGCCGGGGTACCTCAGAACTGGGCACCTAAAACTAGCAGATGCAATTAGCTTTTATCTTTCTCTGCCTCAGTTCCCCTGCCTGCAAGATGAGTTATGCCATAGGGTGTGTGTGAAGAGCATAAAAATTATAAAGGTATCACTAGTGTGAAGCACTTGGCCTGACTACCACACAAAAAGTATCTGAGAAAATTAATTCCAGCTTCAGAGCAGCAGGCAGTAAAGGGGGCCTTTGGCCACCCACTGACCAAGAAGGATAACACAAAATGTGTTTGTCTAGGAACTGAGTACTGTCCATCCTATCCAAGAAAAGCAGGTTTCTTTGGGGAAAATAATGTGAGTATGCCATTAATAGTCACATCACAGTGCAGGTGCAAAAAGGGACAGGGGCAATTAAGACTAGTTAGCCATACCAAATTCCAGCATCCAGCTTTGGAGTGCTTGGCTTCTAAGCATATTAAACATTAAGCTTGCACAAGTGTCTGAAAAGAAAAAGGGATGTTTTGGTAGCCATGTTGGCGTGAGAGAAAATGCAAAAATCTAGAACTCTTGGTTCAGATACCTTTTATTAGACCAACTGAGAAATTGCAAAAAAGATATATTTTTCTGCAAGCTTTCGGGCTCTCTCACCCTTCAGGTTCAGGGAAAGTTAAAGGTTTACCTTTAAAGATTACCACCTTTAACTTTCCCTGAGCCTGATGAAGGGCATGTGAGCCCAAAAGCTTGCAGAAAAAGATAGGGGTTTTTTGCAATTTCTCAGCTGGTCTAATAAAAAGGTATCATCTCCGAACCAAGAGTTTTAGATTTTTGCATTTCTGAAAAGGACACAGGATATGTAAGCAGCCAAAGGTCATCTTCTTCTTCTTGTGTCCTTGCCATAAACTAGATGTTTTCCAGAACCATGCACAAGCAGTGGCTCTTTCTATTGCTGCAGCAAGGTCCTCCTTCATACAGGTCTCACCAAGGAGTCAGCAAACAAGCAGGTGCTCCATAGTCCGCACTTCACTGTACTCGCATATACTCATGTCATTAGAGTAGCATCATTGATCATGTTTGTTTTTGAACTTCCAGTTTGCATGCGCAGGTGGATTCAGGCATGGCCATATTGGCCAGCCTAGATCAGCCCCTCTGGGAAGGTCCTCCAGGGGTTCCAGATCTATTTCAGAGCACCTGAATGCATGTAATCTTTCCATCTATAACCTCAGTTATGCCCTGTCAACCATCATGTTTAACGATGCAACACTGGTCACAAAACTCTTTCGTGTTTTAAACCATTTAGTTACTTCTTTGTGACCGCTGAGTTAATGCCTGGGGTCTTCCATCTGCTGCAGTCTTTTTTGGCACACTATATTTCTTCTGATATCAGGTGGTGCAATGCCAGCCAGTAAGTACAGGCTATCTTTTAGTGTTGGCTTTACAGCTGTCATTTAGAACTGGTCCTAGGTTCTTGGCACAAGCTTTGTTCCCATACTGGACATGAATATTCTGCAGTTGAACAACACAAGAAAATACAAGTGGTTTGTACGATAGCTGGGTTCACTTTGCAGTGAGCAATTTTCTAAGTATGTTGCTGTGGGCACTGACTCTCCCTTTTGTCTTCTCTAAACGTGCTTTGAAGGTAACTGCTCAGTCCAGTGTAACCCCCAAGTACACAGGGTTTGAGTAACTAGTCAGTGGGATGCCATCCCTGGTAATGTTTAATTTCCACTTGGTTTCTCTATGGCATAAGTAAGATAAAGATGAGAGCTATAGAAAGGGTCTCTGAGCTGCAGGCCAGGATTCCCAGGACTGCATTAGCAGATAAGCTAATCAGTAGTGTCTGCTGCCTTATTAAAGGAATCTGTTTTGAACACAGAGAGGTGAAAGTGGATGATCTGAAGACAGCCTTGTATGCAATTGATCCCACTATTGACAACCTGACAATGGACAACTACATCTACCTGGCTTACCAGGTCCCAAAAGAAGAGTTGGAGCAGGCTGTCCCTCTGCCCGTGGAGACGATAATTGAGAAACTGCTGGCTGGAGACATAAGGCGAGCAGGCCCCTTACCTGAGGAGGCAAGCAGACCAGCACCAGAAGAGGGAGAACAAAGAGACTATGATTATTATTAAACAGATCCTCACCCACCCCACATTCAGCTAAGCGCTTTGGTATGTAACATTACACAAGTTACAGCTCTGGGCTACTGCACTGTAATGTTGTTTCTGTGCCTGAATGGGTCCAGCTGATAGTTACAGCAGAGAAATCTAGACTGATTTGGGTATTTGGCAATACAGACAGCTCAGGCAGATAAGATACCTGTATTAATCGTTCAATTTCAGCTCCCTACTAAAGCAAGGTTCACCTGATGTCCAGTCTGCAGCCCTGGCAGGGGCAGCCCATCCTTCCACTGCAAGCTGAAAGGCAAGGGGCCAAGCAAGTGGTGAGCTGGGACCTCTAGTTAAACACTCCACTAATAGCCTAAGTGCAGCAACTGCTAAAGCCTACAAGCCTCCTTAAGTCCCCTCTCCTGTTTTTTTTGTTTTGTTTTAGAGAAGTCAGGCAAGATTCTATAAGAAATTTCAAAGGAAAGGCTATCCAGAAGGGAAAGTTATAATAATAAACCACTAGAATAACTTTGGTGCATCTTTCCCCGAGAACTTTCTTCTCCCACTATAAGCAGGTTTTGTTCAGTGTAGTCAGTCATGTTGAAAGCACTCTAGGCCAAGCCAGGGGAAGGGAAAAAAAAGAGAGAAAAAAAGCAGCATCACCAAACCTGCACCTCTAGACAGCTATAGCAGTATAGCTAGGGACCTACCAAATTCACGGTGGAAGTGAGCTGCACAGCAGCTCCTTTAATCTTGCAGATTTCACCCCCCTTGGCTGATTGAGAGGGGCCCCAACCACTCGCTCCTAATCAGTAGGAAGGTGAAAACCATGGTTTTAAATATGGTGCCAGCCAGTCAGCAGCAAGCAGCAGAGCCACTAGGGCCCTATAGCCAAATCAGCAAGGGGGGGGCCACAGGGGAACCTAGAAGATTAAAGGAGCCACTATGCAGCCCATTTCTGTCATTAATTCAGTAGGGTCCTAAGTATAGCACACAGCAGGCTTACTATAGCTCCATAACTGGATATGCCAACCTTTGTCCTATGCAACACAGCACCAAGACTTCTGATGATTTTGTGCCTGAGTTAGTCATCCTCCAAGCGTAGTCAGTCATTTATTACTCCTTAAGCAGCTTATAGTGTTTTTTGTCTCCAACACTGTCACGCTCCTCCTCCTGACCCCAATATCAATGGGGACAGACAAATTTCTAAAGCAAAACGTGGATCAGGGACAGGAAAACCCTGGTAAGAAACAGTTCTGTTCAGTTAGAACCTGAACTGCTAAACAGTGGAGCAGACAAGGTACCATGGGAAAATATAGCACAGGTAGACTGCTCCCTTCCCTAAAATGACCAGTATAAATGGGAGGAATGAAGAAAGCTGAAAAAATGGGGGAGACTACTCTTGGTGAGATAACAGCATTAGCTAAAGGAGAGCTTGAAACAGACTGTCTATAGGATGCAGAGGCATCACAGCCAAATGGCATAGGATAGAATTGCATAGAAAATGCTCTCCACCACACTTACACTAGAAACACCATATTCAGTTCTGCATGGCAGAAAAAGGGCCAGTGCCAGAAAGGAACAATTATGGACTGAAGGCAATACCTCCCCCCAGCCCTGATTCTTGAACTACATGCAAAGAACTCTAGAAACACCATGAAATAAGTATAAAGCAGGTGCAACACAAACACCAGATAAGGGGGAGCAAACAGCAAAAACATTTGATGAATGAACAATCACAGCCTCTGTTGGAAGTGGTGCAAGCTCCATCACTGAAAGCACCTAACACTGCACCAGAGAAAGCGGTAGACATATAAAGACACAGAACAGTCAGAACAGCTTCGGCACATCCTGCAGTGCAATGGACTTGAGAATTGTAGGTTTAAATGGAGTATCTGGAATTCAGAATGTAGAGTACTTCCTCCTCTCCTTATCTCTATTACATTAAAGGTCAAGTTCTGTCCCTAAAAATCTTGATTCTGTTTAACCCTTAAAAAACAGCTTGAGTTCTAAACTGCTGTGAAATGTTGCATCTAGCTGCAAGAGATTATGTTGGTTCAGATGTCTGGCTGGAAATCGGGCCCTTACTCCTTTCCTTCAGCATAATGCATATTCCTTTCCCAGTCTCTCAGTGCTATAACCTCCACCCTCTGCTAGAAGTTGCTTTAATTCAGGAACTAGGCAGCCCTCTTTCCCCTGCTAGGGAGATCAGATAGTAGAAGTTTCTCTCTAGCTAGAAGTGTATGGGGACATCCAAGGCCAGCAACCCAGTGAGGTGTTCTATGCTCCATATTCAAAATAAAGCAGGGTTCTCATTGTGTTTGACAAATCAACGGAGGCATAATCAGAGCCAGTGATTATTGCTCAGTTCCTTCAAGCAGATACAGACGTGTTGGCAAGCAGAGCACTTCGGTACAGGCCACAGATTCCAGCATAGAACATTCCCTCTTCTTCCAGCAGGCAGGCCATTACACTGGAGAACATCAGCACAGCTAAAAAAAATTGCTAGGAACATTATGTACAGTGCACCAACAGAATGGAACATATAGAGACTACATGATCATGGCAACAAACACCACGCACACTCTACAAAACATGCACCACCTTTTATGTCCATTTATACACTAACAGACATGGCTTTCCAGGGATGTGCTGGAACATAAATGCAGGAAAAGGAAGTTATTTAAAACGGCAGGTCTTCACTGTTCATTTTTAGGAGACCAGTTTGACTAATAATAAACTGGTGTGGTGTCTTAACAGACCTCTGTGGGTCAACTTAAAAGAGAATAACCTCATGTGGCCTTTAGAAACCCAGAATGGCACTAACACCACCATACTGAGGCAAACAAATTGTTACTGTCACACAGTGTAAGTCAGTCTCTCCTGGTTTGCAATGTTTCTATCTGAGTGACACTGCAGGCAGCGCACATCTATTTGGAAGGGATCACTTTATTTCCACTTGTGGCAACGGGGATCAGTAGCTTCCTATATTCCAGAGGAAGGTGGCGCTCTATCAGCACGTTGAGGGGCATCTCGTCTGTCACCAGCCCTTGTCTTCAATTGAAGAGGAGAAGGAGAGAAAGTAAAACAAATATGCAAGATTCCTGTAAAGAAAGCAGTGCTTTCACCCCCCGCCCCAGACTCAGAATGCTGTACCCAGAATTCCTTGGGGCATGCTTAAGGAAGCCATTTTTTACTCTTGATATCTGAAATACAGATCCACACAGCTGCCTTCATGGGAGTATTTGCACCCTACAGGTAAAGCAGACAAGTATGCGTCAGAAACGTACATTTTCAGGACCTGTCTACATGGAAATTGAACGGAATAGTTATTATGGCATAGCTCCCTGGGTAGCCCTTCTCATTCTAGGAAAAGGACATCTGCTAGGGCAGCTATTCCAGAAGAAGTATTTTTTAGAGCTGTACTAGTAAAGATTTCCTTGGCCGATACCAATAGCTGATTATTCATTGTGCATAATTGGCCAATACCGATCTGATAACCAATTTACAGAGGAGAGCGTGTGGAGAGCGGGGCTGGGGCAGGACAGAGCTACGGGTGACTCATCCAAGGGATCAAGTGTTCTGGCGCTTAAAAGTGGTGGCAGGGGCGCTTGAATGAAAGCTCATGGAATGAGCTTCATTTTTAAGCACAGGGATGTTTCTAACTGGAGCACAGTCAAGTGGGTGGAGGAGGGCTGCCTGTTGTGGGCTTGGGGCTCTCTGTTCTGCTGCCTTTGCCCTGGAAGCCCCATGCTGGCCACACTGCATCCCCTGCCCATCCAGCAGCAGTAGGAAGTTGTGTCCCTTACCTTTCCAGCTGAGGGAGGCACACAGCCAGCACGTGGCTCCCAGGACAAAGGCAGCAGGGCGGAGAACCCCAAGCCCACAGTGGGCAGCCCGCCTCTGCCCCATGTACAAATCTAGGGGGCATGTGCTACCTCATGCCTCCCCTGGGGGTGCATGCAGTGGCAGGGAGCTGCCTCCCCTTCCCTCCCCACATCCCCTGGATGAGCTGCCCACTGATCCATCCTACTCTCCAACCTGGCCTCTGGGTCCATTCATTGCCTTGGCTGGGCAATGCCCCCAGCCCCACTCCCTCCCTCACCATGGGGGCCTTGATCTGCATCCCCCACACCCCTTCTCCTCTACAGACTTACCTGCAGGGCACTGCTCTCCACACTGCCTGGCTGCATTCCTGGCCACATGCACGCATGCAGTTGCACATGGCATTTGGAGGCCTGGCCAGAAGGCGTATTGTATTGATCAGTGACATTATTAGCTACACTGGCCAAACAAAGCCAACAATGTGAATTTTCCTTTTATCGGTGCCAATCTGATATGTCACCGATATACTGGTGCTGTGCAACTCTAGTAATTTTCTTTCAAGTGTAAAATCTGCCTCATCCTGGAATGGATTTCCCTTTTAGACCAGCCATTAGAGTCAACAATAGCAAGCAAAGATTTCTAACCCGAACTAATTCCTACAAGTCATTTATTACTCAGAAGTGTTTTGTGTTTTCTGATCCACTTGCTGGCATGACCAAGAGGACGTGGTTTTTTACTAGGTAGGACATACCTAACTGGCCAGAGCGATGTCCCACAGGTCTTAGGAAGGAAGAAGTGATAATGTTGATCACTTCAATCCCCACCCCCCATTATGAACCAATAAGGGCTCTTGAACTAAGGCTGAGGGCACAAAGAGGCAAAGACACAAAAACATGCCCTGAAATGTAAACATGCAGAATCTCCAGAGTTGGCCATTGACATCTTGTCGTTCCAGGGACACACAACCTGCCCACACTATATCCAACATACCTGGAACCCAGCCAGGCAGGAATCTGGAGCAAGAGAGCTCAGGCTCTTCAGGACACAGGGGAAGTAGGTGTGTAATCTGGAAGATCTCATACTTGGAGAATCCCCTGAGTGGCCTAAGCAGTGGGCATGGTGCTCATCATCAAGCAGACCGGGTGGGAGAGGGTGAAGCAGGGAAAGCAATGGGGAATAATGATGTGGTGGCCTTATTGCTACCCAACTTTTGGGAGCCCAGAAGCAGAAGAGGGTTTGAAACGTTCAGATGAGAAAACTACTTGGGCTTCCACATCAGGTAACTAGTGGCATAGAGTAAACTCCACTCTACCTTCTCATGAGGAGTTCCAGGTCAGCTCTCTCCACGGTCTTCCTTCCAGCATGCTTGGTGTAAGCTTCCAAGTCATCACTCAGCTGCTTGAAGTACTGCTCTGAACTAAGGAAAGGAGATAAGGGGAAAGTTAAAGGGCAAAGGGAGTTTCCCGTATAACCATCTCGCCAAAGTCTCCCATTCAACCATCTCTCCATACACTGCACCTGCTTGTACTTCAGGTCACTGCCTTCCAGGGACACAGAGATAAAGTTCCCTACCCCCACTGCAGAAGGACGGCTTCCTAACATGGCAGCTGGTATGGGGTAGACCAGTGGTTCTCAACCTTTCTTGTACCAGGACCCATTTGTAAACATCAATTGCCAGTCCTGACCCAGTAAATAGTTTAAGTAGAAAACAGCCACCTGGCCCTGCCTGTGCCCTTCACTCCTAACCCACTGACCCCACCCCCAGTGTGTGGGGCAGGGTATGGGCTTGTAGGGGGACATGGGGGCCCCCCAAGCAGGCAGGACCTCTGCCAGCCTACAAGGGAAAACCACATTTCCCACATTTTTCTTCTATAAAGGAGAATCCATTTTTAAAAGTTTGTTCAGGACACTTTTATATATTCTTAAGACCCAATTTTGGGTCGCAACCCACAGGTTGAGAAACACTGGCTCTGCTGTGTGGTCTATCCCAGAATAGCTTTCCTGGGATACTGAACTACAGAGCTCTGTCTCTTGTCACCCTCCTCCCTCCACCCCTGTGGTTTGGTACACCTGGGCCCTTTCTGCAGCCAACCTGTCAGCCAAGTGGAGAGGAGCCTGCCAGATGGCTGGCAAGACATGACACCAAATGGCACAAATTCCGCTGGTTTAGAGTGAAACACAGGGCCCTGAGCCAGAGGCTCCTGTACAGCAGCACAAGCACTGATCACTGCACCAGCCACAACACACAGCAGCAGGCCAGACCTGTGCTGGCAATACCATCTCTTAGTGAGCAGGAGACCCTTCTGTGGTGGTTCTCCCTCCTGCCAGCTCTTTTCCAGCTGAGCCAGGAAAGGCTGCAGGGGGCCAAGCAGCTTGATGCTGTCTGTCTCTTGACAGGCATTTTTTTGAGGAGAGAACAGGGCAAGGAGGGAAGAATTTGCTGCTACTCACCACTTTTCCACAACCTTGAATACATCTCTGGCCACTGGCATTTTCACATAATGGCGAAATATCTTCTTCACCAGGCTGCTTGGCAGCGCAGGCTCCCGCTTTCTTCTTTGCTCTGTTCTATTTTTCTTTGGAGCCTGTTTGGCTGGGGGAGGCTTTGGGGATAACCTTCAAGGAAACAGAAAATGCCAAGCAAACCAGCTAAGATGTGTAGAGGAACATCAGGAGCCCAAGCGAGTTATGGCCAAGAGGGGGCCAGCTTAGGCATTATCAGGTGTTATCCCTTCTGCTTCCCTAGAAGGTTGGTATCGGAGAAACTGACACCCATTCACACTAGATCCCCTTTAATGGCAGCACGTAGTGATCTCTCTCCTAAGTACTCATTTTCCTCCTCTGACTCCTAAGCTGCATATTTTAATTCTCTCCTATCAATAAAAGAGCATAAGAGCCTGGCATCCTTTACACTCTAGCACCATCTTATAGCTCTTTTCAGAAGGAGCCCTTATACCAAAAAGATTCCTATACAGAACAGAATCCCCATGCTACAATATTAATACCATCTAGTTCTTTTATTGCATTTCTCTGTAAATCCCAAAACACTTTAGCCAGGGAGCCAATAATTCACTGGTCACATTTTAGAGGGTAAAGCAGGGGCAGATTTCTTCCCCCTTCTGCCCAAGTTCATGCAGCAGGCCAGTGTGGATCAGACACTAGAACCTAAGGTGTCCTAAGTCTCAGGACACGGTTAGCAGAGACCTCACACAAGAAGTTTCTCTGATTCACCCTCACATGCCCATCTACATGTTTTTTGGTCACAACTCCTGCAGTATGATAAGATGGTACATGCAGCTGGGAAAATTTTGGCTCCAGATATGAATGAAGTGCATGCAGCAGTTAGAGCATGAAAATGAACTAATGACCTGGATTCTAACCTGTGTAATGTTGGGCAAAAAACCAAGCCACACCATGCTTGTTACCCACCCATCAATGGGTATATGGATCCTGATTCATGGGCACAAGAAAGGGTTGAAGCTCAGCAACAGTTGTATTTTACATTTCTAAAAGCAGATGTTATTCCCCTAACCCTGCATAGAGGCCACATGAGAATTGTGCCAATATGGGAATTCAAAGGCCAGTTCAAGCTCCTACACTGTCTCCTGCCCTACCTTACTGCATGGCCACAAGATGCTCCAGAATCTCAGCTGCTGACTGACAACCATGGGGCCATTCTAATGATCAGGGATCCTGGTTTTCTTTGTTTAAAAATTGCAAATTATGATAAAAACAGTGAAATACCCATGTGTTTCCACGATTAAAGTGAAACACCACAAAATATATCTAGGTATTAGTTGAATGTGATTTTATTGATATATATTTACATTTTTAAAGCAATCTGGAATGCTACCACTGCCTCAATCATTACAATAAAATAAATTTTAACTACCTGCAGCTGTGTAGCCCCACTTTGTGGCCCTGAGCAGCCCTGATATGCCAGTGCCCTGCCCATACTGGTGCCCCTCAATTCAAACCTACAGCTCCTCACCCCCACAGTGTGAGACGGAGTGAGGGTGTGGAAAAGGTGGTGGAAGGGCATGTGACCCCTGAGATTTCTGCACCCAGTGGGGCAAAGGGCTGCAGCGGGGCAAGACCAGCTCCAGAAAGGAGTCGCCTCTGTGGCCCACTGGGCGGGACCTGTGCTGGAGGGAGCGCTGCAGTACCATGGTGAGGTGCAGCGGTAGCATGGAGTTCTGTCCCCTGCTGCTGCTGGGCAGGCAGGGAGTGCCTCATCTTGGCAGCACAGTGCTCCTTCCCACACCAGGTCCCATGCACTGGGCTGTACAAGCAGCTTCTCTGGAGCCGGTCAAGCCTTGCTTCAGCTTTGCGCCTCACTGTGGGCACAGAAATCTCAGGGGGCATGCCCAACCTGCTCCAGACCCCCAGGTATTGCCCAACCCCCAGGCATTGGCTGTGCCCCCTCCCCCCACCCCTTCCCAACACATGGCCTGTGCTCCTTCCTCTCCCCAAAGACTTACCTGGAGGGAGCTGTGGCAGCTGCTCTCCACTGCTACCTGGCTGCCACATGCACATGGCAACCCTTGCTTGAAATCACCCTTCTCCTGCTCCCTGCAGCCCCAAGCAGCCCCTTGCAGGCTGGAACTGTGCCAGTTGTTTCCAGTGTTTTTCTCCTTTAAAGGAGAAAAATCTGTGTTTCTCTCTGTTAAAGGAGAAAATCTGTGTTTCTCTCTGTTAAAGGAGAAAATCTGTGTTTTCCTGAAGAAAACAGAAAACCTGGATCCCTGTTAATTACACCGGAAGACTGCCAGGCCGGCTCATTGCCAGGGGTGGGGCGGGGTGGGCGTTCAAAGACACCTTTCTTGTGTGATCATCTTCAACAGCCAGGATTTGGACCAATGATAATAGTCTTAGCACTGTCCCAGGGCTGAGAGCCTAGTGAACTTTAAACTACCTGTACCACCTGCAGAAGCATATAAAAACTGCATCCACCACCTGCATTCCCTTTGTCAATGGAGAATGGCAACTCTCTCTCTACAGGAAAATTTACACCCATTCACTGTCTGGATGTGGAAGGAACACATCCCAGTGAACAATCCTAGTGCAGAAACATGGACATGGTGGGATTCAGCTGTGGCCCTGCAAGGTGTGGGATGACTATCACATACCACTGTGCTTTTTTTGCTGATGGTTAGATCACTCCCTCTCTCATACAATGTAGAGGCAGGCTGCAAAATATGTTCACTCACCCTGTTCAGAGCAGCATGTCATACAAGTCTCAGTACCATTCCCTGTTTCAATGGAGAAGCTAGACCAGGGGCAGGCAATTATTTTGGGCAGAGGGCCACTTACCCAGTTTTGGCAGGCTGTGGAGGGCTGCATGGGTAGCCCCGTCCCTTGACGGGTGCCCCGCCCCCTGGTCACCATCTTGGGATCAATGTCCCAGGGCCAGCACCGGTGGCCCAAAGCAGGCTGACAGGGGTCTGTGGAGCCGGGCTGGGCTACACCAGCAGGGAGAGGGGGGAGCTGGCCTGGCTCTACAGAGCCCCTGCCGGCTGGGACCCCGCGCTCCTGCCACCCTGCTCTGGGCCCCGCCGGCACTGGCCCCAGGACACCAGTGTTGGCCCCGTGTTCCCACTGGCTCCCGTGCCCACTCACACCCAGTGCCTCCCAGCCCCATGGGACAGGCGGGGGGCAGCACACAGCCCCGACCCCCTGCTCGCCAGCAGGGAAGAAGCTGGTGCTGAGTGTGGGGAGAAGTGCCCCCTCACCCGCCCTGTGGCTGGTGCTCCCTGCTGCAGGCACTCACAGCCCACGCGGGGCTGTCTGGAGCAGGCACAGGCAGCCCCACAGGGGCTGCAAGTGGCTGCTGTGCAGGGCGCCAGTCACGGGGTGAGCGAGGGGCTGCTTTTCCCCATGTTCAGCACCAGTTTGTAACCTGGCCCTGCTGCCAGCCTGGGCTCCAAGCTGGCTCCAGGCTTGCTTGTCAGTGGCAGCAGCTGCAGCCCCACCGCTTGCCGCGCCGGGCACTGTTGGCTGCTGCTGCCCGCCCAGAGCTCACGCGCTGGGCAGCTGAGGAAGCAGTGGCAAACACTGCCCAGCATGGCAAACAGGGGCACCACAGTTGCTGTTGCCATGAGCAGCCCCGACAGGCAAGCCCAGAGCCGGTGCGGGGCCCAGGCTGGCAGTGGGGCCAGGTTACATGGTGGGTCTGAGCACAGGGCAGGGGGGAAAGTGGCCCCTTGCCTGCCCCGAGCTCACGCGCTGGGCAGCTGAGGAAGCAGTGGCAAACACTGCCCAGCATGGCAAACAGGGGCACCACAGTTGCTGTTGCCATGAGCAGCCCCGACAGGCAAGCCCAGAGCCGGTGCGGGGCCCAGGCTGGCAGTGGGGCCAGGTTACATGGTGGGTCTGAGCACAGGGCAGGGGGGAAAGTGGCCCCTTGCCTGCCCCGGGGCCAGTGCCCCGCGCTGGAGGGCCGCTTTCCTCCACACCGGGAAGGAGCCTGGGGAAAAGCTGAGTGCGGGGAAAAGCGGCCCCTCCCCTGCCCCGTGGCTGGCGCCCCACGCTGCAGCCACTCGCAGCCCGTGAGACTGTCCAAAGCAGGCACAGGCAGCCCCACACAGGCTGCAAGCAGCTGCAGCGCAGGGTGCTGGCCACAGGGTGGGCAAGAGGCCGCTTTCCCTTGGGGCCACTTTTCCCCAGGCTTCTTCCCTGCCCTTCCTCACCCCATTTCCCCCTTACCTGAGGTTCTGGTGCCACCAGGGCAGCCATGTGGTCCCAGGCCAGAAGCCCCAGCTGGGGCTTCTGGCTTGGGGTAGGGGGGCCAGGAGGGCCCTGCTGTTGTGGGAGCCCGCCGGGCTTCCCCTGAGTCCTACTGCCCTTGGTTCTGGTCATTTTTGACAGGAAACAAGGGCAGATAAATATTAATTTTCTAAATTTTTTAGGGGCCCTGCAGCCCTGATAGAATGGCCTGGTGGGCCAGGTGCAGCCTGTGGGCCGTATTTTGCCCACCCCTGAGCTAGACCAAACCAAGAGAGTTACATGGCTGGAGAAAAGGTTCTCCTGGCCCCAGAGCTTGCTAATATAGGTTCTCATAAAGTACGTTGTTGGCTAGGGGGTTGACTGCCCAGGAAGACTAGACTAGACAAGAAGTTCCCCTCATCTTCACTCAGGCACATCTCTTATTGAGCCACTGAGCTACAACACATTTCCAAACCAATATAGAACTGTTCATTTAGCAAGGCAAGATAACTTGTGATTTTTCCTCCCCATGCAAGACATTTAATCACTTCAGTGTTGGGCCACAGATCTCTCTACCCAGTGTCCTTGCAGCAGCTTCAAAGGGAAGATTCAGTGAACACTCACTGAAAGATCTCAGAACTGTTCTGGGAAGTATTTAACTAAATACATTAATTTGCCAGTTCCCTTTATGTGCTTACTGAAGACTGCACTCAGGATCTCTTTTTCCTTGCTACCAGTGATAAAGCATCCAATAATAGCCTACAGAGATGCCTGGCCTACAACAGACAACGAGTGGGGAAGCAGCCCTCAGGACTCCAGTCTGGCAGCTACATCAGCTTCCAGTTTGCTGCCTGGTTTTGCACTTACTTGGGCACAGCCATTTTTAGAGAACGTGGGGTTGATAGCGAAGGAGAGACCTGGTCGGCCATAGCACGGACAAATGCAGGCATCTCCATGGAAAGTTCTGAGGATAGAAAGCAACACACACATATAAACTCTGGATTCCAGCAGTTTAGAGTTCCTGCTGCATGGGCTGCCAAAACATCCAAGACAGAGCATGCTACGTAGGATTTTTCCACTGCAAACCACACTGTAAGCTAGAGATGCACCGATACATCGGTCCAATATCAGATCAGCACCGATATAAAGAAAACTGTCTGTATCAGAAATTGGCTTGATATGGCTGATAATTTGGCCGATAAATGGCCCATGCTGTGCGCAGCCACAGCGCAGCACGGAAGTGGCAAGGAGCATAGCCAGGCAGCTTGGAGAGCTGTGTCCAGCTGGTAAGTTTGTGTGGTAGAAGGGGAGGGGGAAGAGAAGGGGCTTGGGGGGCAGATCAAGACCCCTGTGGGGAGGGAGGGGGTGGGGCTGGAGCAAGTGCTGCCCAGCTGGGGCGGGGCGGGTGCAGGACGGAGCTGCGGCTTGTCCGTGGGGCAGCTCCTGCTGCTGTGCGCCACTTGTCCAAGAGCCGCTCATCCAGCACCTCCTGCTGCTGCTCCCACTGCTGGTCTGGGAGGGCATGGGGGTGGGGTATGTACCACCAGATCTGTGCGGGGTGAGCTGGGGCTGCGCAGGGCTCTTCCCAGTGTGGGGCTGGGCTGGGCTCGCTGCCCACCCTGAGGACAGCTTGGCCCAACCCCCACCAGAAAGAGCCCGGTGCAGCCCTGGCCCCAGCCCACCCCACACAGATCTGGGGGCACATGCCCCCACCTTGTGCCTTCCCAGGGTGCATGCAGCAGAGGGAGCTGCCTCCTGGATGAGCTGCTTGTGGCTGTCCTGCACCCTGCCCCACCCCGGCTGGGCAGTCCCAGCCCCAGCCCCAGCCCCACTCCCTCCCTCACTGCAGAGGCCTCAATCTGCACCCCCACACCTCATCCCTTTCCCCTCCCCTTCCACCACAACAGACTTACCAGCTGGACACTGGTCTTCAAGCTGCCAGGATGGTATCGGAAATCAGATCAGTATTGGCGGATAAGCCTCTTTAAAAACCAGCTACTGGTATCAGCTCCAAAAATCTCCATCTGTGTACCATTACTGTAAGCATCTCATGACCACTTCCCCCTCTCATGCCTGATCAAGTCTTTCACACCTACAGCAGCAGCTGTCAAGAAATCTGCTACCTTTAATGCATTCGGAGCTTCCTCCTGTTTAAACCATGCTGATCACCGTCTCTTCCTGCTCCTCACTTAGACTTAGTGCCTGGCAAGCTGTCTGCATACCTGGTACTTTTTTTATTCTAGGGCCATGGTGGGGGGAAATGCCACAGTAAGTTGAAGCTAGTTCTTTTTACACTTAACTCCTGAGGAAATCCCCACAAACTGACCAGTATTCCATTCCTGTCATATTAAAAAATCCCAACTTTGCTTTCCCAGTTCACAGGTAAATTTGGGAACAAGTTGATTTAGTCTAGAAATAATGGTCCATAGACATAGTCTCCTTTTAAAGCAACTACTATTTGTCATGGTCAGACAGGATACAGGGCTAGATGGACCATAGGTCTGACCTAACATGGCACTTATAGTTTTACTAGCCAACTGCCCATCAAGAATGATTGGGGGTGGGGGGGGGGCAGCGATGGAGCTCTATGCCCCCCCCTCCCTGCTGCAGTGGCGGGGGAAGGGAAGGAGCGGTCCTGGGCCTGATGTGTGGGAAGATCAGGCCCAAGGGTGGGGAGAAGCTGGGCTGCTGCAGCAGGCGGAGGGGGTGAGCAGCAAGCCCAGTCGACCAGGCAGCAGTGAGGGGATGGGAGGAGCGAGCTTGGGGCCAACATGGGGGAGGATCAGTGGGCCCAGGCCTGAGGGGGGGGGAGGAGGCCTCCTCCTCCCCTCCCCCAGCCACTGCCGTGTTGTCTGGGCCCCCAGATCCCCTCCCCCCACTGCAGCAAGCCAGCTTCTCCCCCAGCTCAGGCTCACTTCTCGCCTCCCCCAACATCAGGCCTGGGCCCACTCCTTCCCTCCCCCAACCACCCATGCAGTGGCAGGGCCGGGCGAGTCCGCGCCGGCAGCACAGCTTCTACCGCATTGGCCCTGGAGGTGGCAACAACGGAAGGGGGGGGAGAGACGGGCCGAGGCCAGCGCTGGTGGCCTCACCCCCACTTAGCATCCCGACCCTGCTCTCCTCCCCCGCTCCCCCCTGTCACCTCCAAGGAGCAAGGTGGGGGAGGACGGGACATATGACCGACAAGACCCGCTCTGGTGGCATTCCCCCACTCCCCTCCACTCCATTGCTGCCGCCTGCAGGTAGCACAGCTGGCCTCATCTCCCCCCCCACCCCCATCATGGCGGCGCTTCGCGGCTTCCTAGATGAATACTTCTTCACACTCTAATTGGCTGTTTGTCAGCCAATCAGAGCACAAATAAAGCTTTATGGACAGATAGACAAATCAAGACTTTTATAATATTAGAATGTTGCCCTGACATTACAGCACTGCTCAGTGGGTGTTGGATATCCACAGCAGATGCAAGGCATCAGAATTTTTCATTCAGTGTTCAAGCAGAAAGGCATCATGGAGCTGTGCACAGGGGAAATGTGAAAACTGCATCGTCCCACAGCTGGAACTGCATGGAGCCCACAGTTCAGACTGCCTGTGGCAGCAAAACCCTCAGGCCTCAGAGAAAAACCCTAAAGTTTGGCAGCTCTGGTTGATTTCCAACTCTGTAGTGTGGAGCAAAGTGGTTTGAATATTCCCACTGATTAAGATGTAGTCCTTGACAAATTTGAAGATTTAGCCTACTGAAGATGGCAACAACATAAAAAAAAACAAACCCTTTTACTTTTGGAAAATTCATCAGCTGCAAGATCTCTCTGGATGTCATTCTTCTGTGCAATCAGGACAAGAGAACTGATAATAGTCTTAACCAAAATCCTTCTATAGTCTACAGACTGGCCCTAGGAAGAAGACCATCCAGCCACTTTCTGCCATTACAAAGATCTCTCTTACCTTCACTTTTAGCACCATCCTCACTTATCTCCTCTTCCCCTGTTTTGTGCTCTTCAAGTTCACTCGTGTCTTCTACAACAGCTCCATCATCCAGATCAACTGTCTGTTCCACAGTTTCTATGGATTTCTTCCTGGTAGGTTCAGAATACCGAGTGAAGGCGGCACTGGACTGCCTGCTTAACCTTCTGGCTCCAGCATTTTCAGGATACTCAACAACTACGTGTTCAAAATGATAACAGACATGTTATAGTACCAGACCTTACAGCCAAGGATCTCAGAACCCTCACGTACATTAAGTGCATGCTACCGCTTGAGTGAGATGGTCACCAAGAATATCTGAACAAGGATGTAAAATGCTTCATAAGTCTAGGATGTGGTTTTTTAAAAATAATTTAATGGCTAGGTAAACAGATACAGTCTAAAGTTACTTGGCCATCCATTTTGCTTTGGATAGCTTTCTGAAAGGAATACATGGGAAGCTCTTAACAACATGGAAAAGCACAAATGAGGTTTTCAGCTCACAAAAGCATCTGAGCTTCTCATCAGTATCTTCCCATTTAAAAAGGGACATTCCAATGCCAGCAGAGCAGCTGTAGCAAAAGGTAGAAGCAGCTCAATGTCAGATTCTGTACCAGTTTCTTATCTGCTTCAGTACACCAAAATAGGTTTATGCAACTAGAGAGACCTTTTCTACATTCATTGCAGTTTAGATATTAAAGCAATAGTAAAGACTGAGGGAAATTGGTTTACTTATCTTATTGCTGGACCCCATAGAGCTAGAAACCAATGATATTTTTGTAAAAGAGGTCAGCAATGCCTAGTGGGGAACTAATACCTATGATCAAATATATGTTAGTTTGTACACAGCAAATATAATCCTTATGGTCCTGAATCAGTGCTACCATGACAGTTGTGCAAAAATACATGAGTCTGAGGTATCGCCTTCTTACTGGCTACTTGCTGAGATTTCAGTTTCTAATGAACTGTGACTAAACCACACCAAGAAGCAATAGGTAACCTAGTAGGAACCAGACCAGCAACAACAGGAAGACAACTCACCCCCTTTCAGGACTCCAAGTCAATAACCTTTATGTGGTCAACTATGGTTCAATCAGAATGGGTCATTTATAAACAGTGGCCTGGCTCAGGAAGCAAGCCAGAAGAGATCTTTCTTTTATTAGACACAAGTCCTCTTGTATCTAACCTCTAACTGACAGTTCAGCTTCTACCAATTTTGGTATATACGTAGCATATTTCTTGGATGAAGACCAAGCAGCAGTACAGGGCAGATGGGAAGCATGAAAACAGATCTCACACAGTTAGAGAGGTGTAGGTTGTAGCTGTGTTGGTCTAAGGACATAGGCAGACAAGGTTCTTTGGGTAAATCTGATATCTGTTAGTAGACTAACTAAATCGTTGGAAATAAATTTTCTTAGCAAGCTTTCGGGTTTAAAAACCCTTTGTCAGGCTGAGGAAGTATCTTCAGTTGGTGTGTGTTCTTCCTGGATGCAATGAATGGTAAAGAAGCTAGAAGCTGGTATGCATGCAAGAAAGCCAGCCAGTGAAGATGTAAATTGAGGAGTCAGTGGGTGAGAGACAGGTTCGGGGTGGCGGGCAGAAGGAATGTAGCAGGTAAATAGTGGAGAGGTACCTGGGGACTCGCATGTCAGGCAGGTTATAATGCGTCATAAATCCAATGCCTATATTTAGTCCATGATTTTTTCTATCCAGGAGGTTGAAGAAGTGAAGTTCATAGGCTCGCCTGTGAAAAGTGTTTTGTAAATTCCCTTTGAGGATTAGAACTTTGAGGATCGGAGAGAGAGAGAGTGGTTTTCTTGTGAGAATTGTGCATGGGTCTCCAGAGTCTGCTGGGGCACCGGCAGCCGATTGCCAACCGGGGGGGTGCGGGGAGGGCCGGTCAGTGCCGCCAGCACTTCTCAGTGCCAGCCAGGACCAATCTTGGAGCACGTGCCCCCCACACGTCGCCTATGCCCACTGGTAATTGGGTTTTCTTGTCACAGCAGAAATATAGATTTCTGGTATGCATTCATTCTGGTGCGCAGTTGTTGTTTGGTCTCTCCTACATATCTTTCATCAGGGCATTTGGTGCATTGGATAAGATGTATTACATTTCTGGAGGCGTAGCTGTAAGATCCAGGAATGCTGATGGTTCTGTTGTGGGGGTGGTAGAGATATGTTGGCAGGTTTTGCATTGCTTGTCATAGCATGGTCTGGACCCACTTGGTGTATGTTGGGCAGCAGGAAGTTTCCTTTTGGTGATGAGGTTAGTGAGGTTCGGTGCTTGTTTGAAGGTTAGCATGGGTGGTTCTGGGAAGATCTCTTTAAGAATTGGGTCTCCTTCTAGTATGGGTTGCAATTGTTTGAGGATTTTCCACATAGGTTCAAGAGAGGGGTGATATGTCATAACCAGCG